TGTATCACATGAGTGCAACCTGAAGAACCTTTGAGATCTGGAGCGAACTTACTGAAGCAAGTAATAAGGGACAAGGGCAACTTATCACCTGCCAGTGAACATTTCCCCTGTGAGAATACAAACATTCCTTCTCTGACCTCTCGGTCCTTGTCCCAGTCCTAGCTTTTACAGTCCTGTAAAAGCTAATACCTGTGAAAGAGAATTCAGAACCTTGCATTCAAGGAAAGTTATCCCTGGGATCACAATCCTGTCATTCCTCATTGCAATACAACGCAACACCGTTCCATTTGTGTTGTGTTCTATTTGCATATTAAAAGCTATTGGACAGCCAAGTCACACAATCATTTGAACTATGTATCAGTAAATTGATGGTGGGGAGGGAAAGGGTCTTCCTGCCCATTTATTGCCTGTTAAGATGGATGCCTATTTTTACAGTGCAATAAACATGCTGTCTTTTTTCAAGTAGTGTTTTTGTTGCAGAGGCAATGCATTTTGCAAGCAGTCAATATGCTATATCTCATACCTAGGGAAACACACTATTATTTGTCTTGGACAGAATATTCCTTTGTATTACAACTGTTGTTATTGAGATTGTGTTCCTGCAAATATGGAATTATCTGTTGGATAGGAGTTCTAACTAGGATAAGGAACATATTGGGTAACCTAAGGTCCAAAACACACTACAGAAATAATCCAGTTTGAGACTGCTTTAACTGTTGTGGCTCAGTGCTTGGGAATCCTGGGAATTGTAGTTTATTGTGGCACCAGCGCTCTCTGACAGAGAAGGCTAAGTGTCTCCCAAAACTACAGTTCCTAGAATTCCCTAGCATTGAGCCAGAGCAGTTAAAGCAGTCACAAACTGGATTATTTCTGCAGTGTGTTTTGGACCATAGCTGGAGGCTTTGCCAATACCTTCTGCTTTCTACTAGCAGTGATATGGCTGTTGGAGGAACAACTGGCATTACAGAGTGAGTCCTGGAAGTAGTGATGATGGGGGATCCATACTGGAATTTAGTATGCAGAACTCTTCAACAATGCATGACCATATAAAATCTTGGTCAAAGAAAATCTACTTTACAAATGGCCTTGAATGGTCCTCACTATTACAAACAACAAGCATATTTAAACTAATATTACTTGTTATGTGTGCGCGTGTGCACACATGCACACACACTTCATTTCTGATAAGGTTCATTTAATCATCAACTGTGCATGTTTCTATACCAACAGAGAAAGTTCACAAAAAAGAAAGCAAAGACTATAGGCTGAGATGGTTCATCTCTTGGTAAGATTTTCTATTAATGTTTTACTTCTATTTTTAAATACTATTTTCATTATTATTTCTGTTGTAGAAAACTTTCTAACTTTCTGAGCTGCGACCAATATGGTTCTTATATTTGTGGCTCATAACTTTAAAAATAGCTAAGGCAATGGGAAAATCAAACCTTTCCATCTCCTTTGAGGGAACTCATTGCCTTACTTTCTAATACGACAGGAGTTAGAACAACATTGCCCTGTTTCTGTGAGATGCTGTCTTCAGATGACCAGTCAGTTCTTCTAAAAACATGCTCGGTTCCTAGTTAGTCATCATCATCTGTGTTGATTCCTTTATGCCAAAACTTTTCATCAAGCCAGAAGACAATGACTGCCTTTATATTTCATCACCAAATGCCTGAATTCTAATGGCTTATCTGGATAATTGAATGAAACTTTGACTTTCCTACATTGCAGCCTTTGTTGAATAAACCTAATTCAAAGGCAATCAAATGAGAACCAGATTTAGCCTTTCCCAGCCTGATGCTTCATGGATCTATTGGATTACAACCCCATAACCTCCAGCTTCGGGAAAGTTAGATGACTCTAAAACTAGAAGAGGGCAACTTGTGACTATCCAGAAGTTGTTGGTCTGCCTACCACCACTACTGTCATCTCCCCACTGACTAGGGATGAAGGGTGTGGCAGTCTAATGACATCTGGAGGGATGCCGACCCCTCCTTTAAGTATTCTCCAAATTAGCGTGTGATGATCTGGACTGCATATGGTGACCTCTCAACCTGCTCCACTCTCTTTCTTTACCATGTGCTATAGCATGCAGGTGGATCCACATTTTACAGCAGATAGGTGAAAGAACTAGCTAACTGATGTAAGGCAGGGTGCAGTGGCCGACATGTGCCCCTGTGTTTTGATAGCAGCTTATTAGGCAGAATACAACAGGTGAAGCCAGAGCATCAGCATCAGTGCAGAAAAGGCTGGTATACAGCCTCTCCTTTTCACACCAATACCACAATCTCTTTTATCACATACATATGAGGGGGTATCATAAAGTTTTAATTATCACCTTCAAAAATTTTTGACAAAAAGTTTTGATTTGTAGTTGTTAACTTATCTCTATGTAGTAACCATCCAGATGTATACATTTTCCCAGCATTTCTAGACTCTCCAAATACCATTATTGTAGAAGTCTGCAGATTGTGCCTTAAACCACTCTTCCACATCATGAATGGCATCATCGGTGCTGTCAAATCGGCAACCTCACAATGGATTTTTCATTTTTGGGAAAAGAAAGTCACTTGGTGATGATGACACCGACAAAATTTCATCAATATACCATAATCACTTCTGGGTGATAATTATTACTTTACAATAACCCTTTGTACTTCTCCATCTTACACTTTAACAAAAATAAAGGACACAATGAGCTGATTTTCTTCACACCATGCACTTAAGGACCAATGACGATACTAACAAAATTTCATCATTGTACCATAATAACTTCCGGGTGATGATTATTACTTTACGATACCCCCTCGTACATCACATACATACATGCAATATACATATATATCACATAATACATCACATACATACAATACAAGCTTATAAGCCATTAAAATTTTAAATTACTGTTATATAGTCTACATTTCTGTAAACCTGTTTGCTTTTGCTCTGTTTAATAATAATAATACCCTGCCTCAGAGACCTATAAATTTCCCAATTATTTTGTAATGGTCATTAATAAAGGGATTTTTCTGTCAATATCTTGGTATTTTTATTCTAATAGACCAGCATCACTTCAAACATGTGGCCAATTAACTTTAAGGCATTGATTTTCTGGCCTTATACATTGCAAATGTATGAATTAGCTGCCAACAGCAATTTGTCTTGCAACTTCATACTGAACAGACAAAATGAAGAGGTGGCTTAACTGTTCTTGCCTCATCATAGACAGCCTTCAACTTCTGATGAGTGCTAAGCTTCCAGAAATTTTCTTCTGTTTCTGCCACAAACTCTGCATTGTGCAAAAAATCCATAGGCCTATGCACACTTTACTGAAAAATTAGCTGTAAGTGTGAATCTGAGAAAAATCTGTGGGATACTAGTAAAGTAGAGATTTAAGTTCCCTGGGCTCTATTAACATATTTTAAGTATGAAGAGAATGTAATGTTATTGATTTCTTGGAGCCAGTGTTCTTCTGTGCAGATGATGTTGTCAAAGTTGCATCAAAGGTATGGATGAGTAAATTAGACCAGGGTTGCAAGACTGAAAACTGGAAACGGCTTCTGTACCTATAACGGCAGTGTAGAATAGAGCATTTAGCAGATGCTGCATGTCACACAACCAGATAATAAGCAACATCTGCTGAAACCCCTCTTCTGCACAAGCATTAAAGGCACAGCAGCTGTCTCCAGTTTTCACTCTGGCAACCCTAAATTAGACACTTGCTCAGGGGACTGCAAACAATACCAGAAGGAACAGCATTTGCTCCTCTTATTTTACTGTTCTTTGCTTTGTCCTCATCATTTCCACATTTCCATAAGATGTCCATTTCTGCTGCCTATCCAGAAGAAATTCCAATCCAGAATCTACTCTAAATCCAATTGCTAGTCTCAACTACAGCAGACCCACTGAATCAACTGTTGCATTATAAATGAACACTTACATCAGTGCATCATAGTTAGAACTAGCAATTGGGATTCGGCCTTCTAGAATTGTAGTTCTTTATGAGACACAGCATATCGAACAGAACATACTCCTTAGATCTCACTTTCTTTAGGTCTCCCACAATCCTAGTTTATCTGTACAAACATATGGTACTCTCTCTATTCTAGAGAAGGACTTTAAGCTC